AATAGTCTGTTTCTGTCAAATCGGTTTAATCTAAAAGGTTTTTTCATCTAAAGTGAGGCGTTAAATATTTTACCAGTCTCAAGGTGTATTTTTACCCCACATGAGCATGAAAAAGACATCGAGTAAAATAAAGTTTTTACTCTGGATTAGTGCTGTAGTGTTGTCCAAACAAGTAAGCACGCATGTCGACAACACACCCCTTCAGCACACACATACACACACAAGCACAGTAATCCCACACTAGGGGGTAGAGGCCTGTTGTATACCAGCCTGAAAAACCATTGTGATGTTCAAAGGGGCTTCACAGAGGCTCTAACCATTGATAAGGTCTAATGTGATGAGGGACTGTAAACTTCATCTTTTATACATGGCAACATAATGTGAAAGGTCAGCTTATCTTAATCCTCAAATCTGCAGCATCCAGGCCCATGGCCCCATTTCATGAAGTTAAAGAAATAATCTTAGAGTCCATTCTGAAGATGCCCCTTATTATCTTCTCCACAAGGTCCAATCAGAAGACATCATTAGAGTGTACCATGAATGCACTGTAAGGAATGATTATTTCTCTTTTCTAATCGGCCCCAATCATATCATAGAATCAGCTGGACTGTGTGCTCATGGTGAGAAGCTTTATTATGTCCAGTGATTAATCATCAAGCACTTCCTTATCCCTCTTAGACACACAGTACACTGTTGGCCTGGTTCACAGAGTGAGAATGGAAAACATCACCTTCATCAGCATGGTGCTTACCTGATTTTCCATACTCTTTATTTCACCCTCACCATTGGCCTTGTACAGTACAATTCTGTTGTGTGTCATCATCTCAAGGATATGAACATGCTTTCAAGACCAGTCATTCACTTGGGCTCCACGTAGAGGCTAATCAGTGTTGGGTACAAATGGTTATAAAGCAGCACACCGTTATGTTTTGCCACATTCATTGTTTTTGCGTACATCTTTAAACGTGCCTTACCATCCTGATTTGGTTTACCCGGGATTTTTGTTTGTTAACTTCTTGATCTGTTTCAATCTGTTCCCTTCCATGACTGCCAACAGAAATTTCTTGTCGACTTAAAAAAGAAGTTAACAATGTGTCCTTAAATTCCAAACAAATTGTGGACAAATTACCTACACGTCGTGAAGTGGTAGTCGCTACCATATTTTTTCTGAATGTATGCAGGTCAAAAAGGTTATCGTCTCAAGACCAAGTTTAGGCAATTTGTTGTTTAGGAATCCTTTGTTCTCAACTGAAAGTGTGTCAAATGTAGACAGATTGTGAAATATTTATTCCTTGACTGCAGATCATATTAGAGTGTTATTGTTTGTTTCGTTTTGTATTCCACCCCTAATTTGCCAGTGGTACAGTTTCTCAGGAAGTCTAACAAACACACATCAACTTTAACAAAGGTAGACCCCATCCTGTAGCCTTAATTAGAAGGAAATTGTAAACAGACGCATGCCTTTCTTTTACGGATTATCCATACTTTATGACTGAATGTTTGAAGTTATGAGGGGTTCTGAATCAGCACTGCTCGAGTGGTGCTCTTATAGGACATTGTTGTCTTCAATTATTTTCAGTTATATTCCCGTCTGTAACAGGCAGGGGATCATTTATTATTTAAAGATGCAATCGTTGCTGTTTATCTGGGATTTTTAAAACCGGGTTATCTTTTCGCGTAGTTTTTTTGATTAAAGGAACAAAGTGTAATAAAGCGCAGTTTCAAACAGATGCTTGTCTCTCTAGCGCGAGAGCTCATCTGCCATTATTGTGATTTAATATGAACGGTGCCAAGCAGCTGCCGAGAGACAAGATCTAACGAGCATCAGGGATGCTTTAGTATGTACATAAAGGGTCTCACACAGACACAAGCTGATGCAGACACACACGCACAAATACACATTTAGTTGCAGACCAACAATCATGCATATCTTTATCCATATGTTGTAGCTAAAGATGATTGACAGAAAGACTCATAGCTAATTATTATTGTAGCTAGATTAACAGTTTTAGTAGTAATGCCTGGAACAAATACTGATCAGTACCATCTTTGTTTAACTTAACCAAACAACAGGAAACCAAACAGTTTAAAGCAGTATGAATAATAGCACAGGGTTAGTTTATACACTCTGTCTGTCTATTTCGAAGACAGCAAGAAGGAACTGATTCTCAGACTGCAGACCCTCATTCAGTCGAAGTACAGTACTGCAGTTGTTCAATATATCTTGTTACAGCATCCTTTATTTCATTACTCAATAAATTTGTCATGCACAGAGCTCCATCCCCAAGTGCACCCTTAGAATAGAACCTTTTTCCAGGTTTGAACAGCAGTTGTAGTTGCAGTCCTGCTACTACATCTCACTGTTCTTACACATATTGTTTTTTTAAACCCCAAAGCCCCACAACTCTTGTTGTGTCCCTCTTATGGTCACTAGTATCCACTCGCCCCACCATCACTCTTGTTACTTCCAATACTTAACTTTACACTGAAGCCTTTGCCCCTGAGACCCTAGTGTTGGGAGATTAGTCCAGCCTCAACTGAAGTAGACAAACTGCAATCAATACCTGATATAAGCAGTCCACCAGGGTCAGGCGACCTTGCTGTATGGCACCCACGGCAACTCTAGTAAAGTCCTTATAAATTCTGGGTGACTGACCCCTGACGACCTGGGCAGATAAGGTCAGTCTGGCCAGAGTGACCTAGAGCCAAGAGGCCAGTGTCCAGTCAGTCTGGCTGTCCTATAATGAAGTGGTCAGTATTGCCTTTCTGTCACTCAGCAATTACTGGGAGAGATATGGAGCCATAGATAGGTGCTGAATGCACAAGGAGGCAGTGGCCACAGAATTACATTCACGAGGCAAAGGACCAATAAAGTGACATGTAAACTACTCTAATATGGACTGGTAATGACTGGGAGCAAGATGGATTGAAGGGAGTCTGACAACTTCAGTGGGACTGCATTATATCTGTGCATGCAGGCACAGGAAACACTACTGTAAAGCTTAGGGTTAATAGCTGCTTTTAAAGCCTGATGATTTGCTGCAAGAATAAATTATGAACAGTCATGCATTATAAACACTATTCAGCGTCTCCTAGGAAGCAACATTATTTACATTATACTCAAAATTGATATGTTTTAAATGATTTAATTATTTTATTTTCAGATTCATTTACATATACTGTAAAAGAAAAAAATGCAGTGAACATCAGTCTTTCCAAGAGACTTTAATTTATTAGCGATGATCCTAGATAATCAACCTAGAGGGAGCCATTGATAGAAGGTGTCTCTAATGTATTAATGACACAGGTGTAAGTTGCAGAGTGAGAAGTGACCAGATTAAAGACAAATAGACTGACATGCAGGCAGAGGTCATGCTGCCTGCACAAATAGATGCCTGCGTATGTCACAGTGTTGCTCCCATGGCCTGTTGTGCTCCCCGACACAGGTCAGGGGCTAGGAAATCCCCGAAGCCATCCAGCTGCTGCCATCAGAGACTCTCGGCATTCTTCTGTCTGCTAACTATTTAGTTGTCAGTGATTTGGTTAAGTGGAATTGACTTTTATCTGCGGTGTGCTGTGGGGCTGCCACTGGCAATTCAGAATCCCCCTTCCTCAGCTCCTGTCTTAGCCTGGTGTCACATCCAGCACATTGCTATTGGCAGCTGAGCCAGGCCTAATCAATAGCCCAGGTCAGGGATGGCCCCCGGCTCTGCTGTGGGTGGGCTATTGATCCGACACACACACTCCCACAGGTCGCTCTGACAAACCGGGAACTCATGGCCTCGGACGTAGTGAGGAAGACAGACGACAAATTAACAGCGCTGCTTTCTGTCTGCTGTAACTGCTGACAAAACACTGTCGAAAAAATTATTTATTTATTGATTAGCAGGCACTGTACTCTATACTCTTTATTTGACATAACTTAAACTGATCATTATTCAAATTGATATTTCAAGCAGAAATGATGTGATGAAAAGCTGAGCACATTAAAATCGTGATAAACTGATAAAACCATTCCGATGCAATCCCTTTGTGACCACAGAAGACCTCTGCCCCTGTTTGTCTATCTGTCTGTTTCTCTTTTTGTTTTGTAGCTATCATTCTTTATCTTTGCCGTGTAGATCCTCTGTTGTCACTCTTTCAGACCTGTGGCCAATGAGCAAGAGTCTAGTTATTTTTATTGCAGTTTTAAATGTTGCTCCCCAAGCTCCTTATCAGCACCACAATAAGAACTCTTGGGAACAATTAAACATGGGCTTTAACTCAAGTCTAACCACAGAGGTAAAAATAATCGCACCAGGTTTCCAAATGGAAGTGGCTTCAAAAGAGCTATTCAGTTATCACAAACTGTCTGCCTCTCCCGCCTGTATTCCCTAACTAAATCTCTGTCGCTGTGGAACTATTGGAACATATGACAAGCATATTTACCCAGCTTCACAAACCAGGCCCATGTGGAATTCAAAGTCTTTTTTTGCATGTTTTTTTTTCTCATCGCTAGAATTGACAGTTGAATAAATATGTATTGTCTATGGGACTTTGTTGTCGTATACGGGAGATCCTCTGCAGAACAGGCAATTATATATGCTATTACAGGAATATGTCTTGTTCTGGTTACAGCGAAATTAAGTTTCTCCGGAAATCTTTTTCATTTCTCATTTTAAAAGTCTTCAGTGGTATGAGAGGAGAAATTACTCACAGCAGTTCATTTACTATTAAATGTAATCTTGAAATCATAAGAGGCTTTCCTGCAGTAGTAGCATACAAATAATTATGGATTAATTTTGTTGGCTCTAAAAACAGCTGATTAATTTTGAAGTCTTGATGGTATCATACTGCTCTGGTTTTCTTCTCCTAAAAGACATTTATTATGTGCTCAGATTGCAGGGATGAGGTACAGAACTTGAGTGTTCTGACAGGACCGCATTGGAAACGTTGTCATTTCCAACCGTGTTCAAACCATGTTTCTGACTCTGTTTCTCTTTCTTTGTTTCTTGCTCCAGGTGATGGTGTCATCCTGATTTGTTCTTCTTGTGACCCGGGAGTCGCTAAATCCCAAACCATATAGCTTTGGAAAACCCTGGAAATACCTGGAATTCTAGGAGTACATCACCAAAACTTCTTAAGGTGCCCAGGCACCGGATCGATAGCTTTACATTCTCCTTTATTATTTTTGTGAGTATACAAAGACAAAGACGAAAAGTCTCAACGTTAGCAATAGCCGCTGGCCATCCACCTCTGCTTCGACGAACCTGCTGTGACCAAGAGGGCGTGACCTTTCTGCCTGCTGACTTCAAACAGACACTTGAAAAGAAAACACAGTCAGAGAGGCTTCCGCGTGGTGGCAACACAGACCAAAAACCCCATCAGGTAAGTCTGTGAAGTCCCCCATGCTCCTGCTGTCCAAGCCCCTAAGCCCTTTAACTTCTTCGTGGCTTTGAAGCTAACTTGTCCCCAGTCTGTGTCCCCCACACAGTTAGCCCGCCTTCAGAGTTGTGTAAAGGAAAGGCTGGCTGATAAATGCCCCGCTTTCATGCTCAGCTCACCTGTTTGTTCCTCTTGGATTAGAGGTTCTGAATATGTTGTTTGGTTGATAGGCGCTCACCTTGGGTTTTCACTGGCCCCTCGCAGATTTGGTCAATGACCAGCCAGAGCTCGAGCAAATGTGCTAGAACCGTGACAAGATTTGCTGTGTGTGACCAGGTGGATCACACATACATGAGCATATTCTCATTAGCTTCTATATACAGTATGTCACACTGTGTGGACATGCACACACATGCTGTACATACAACCTGCAGACTAACGTGCCAAAACATACTCACATTTTTGCATAGATAGGAAATCTATTTCATCTATGGTTGCACACACTGACACATCTGCAGCATACACTCTACTGTACTCTACAGTTTCTATCAGTAATCAGTAATGTTGTCAGTAATGGGATGTGTGAATGTTCCGATCCAAGTGATTTTCTGGCTGATATAATGCCACCACTGTTTGTGTGTAAGTTGACGGATGTGTGTCAGTTGTGTCTTGTATGTGTTTGTCTGGTGTGTATAAGAATAGAAATGGAGTATGTGTTTTGACTGCATTTTTGGGCTTCATAGCATATGGTTGTAAAGTGAATATTTTACAGAATCACTTTGAATTTGATTTTGCTCAACGTCACTCTTCTAGATTTATTAGGGTCTGGTTCCCCAGTTGTTTTGCAGAATACGGAAAACACGTTTTCAGTCAGTGATTAAGACTTGATTCCAAGTTATCTGGACTATATTAAATTATTCTGCTTGATAAGGGATTTTGATTTTATTTTTTCTCAGGCAATGACTTGGCATCAAATAGCACCTTATCCAAGGCTATTGAGAGTTTAAGCTTTGTACCTGTGTAGGAAAGCATATTCACCACCATTATACATTACATATATTATTACATTTTTTTGCTCTGAAAATAGGCCTAATTAAAAATAAGTGTTTATACAATTATTTGAATATACTGAAATAATGTGACAGTAACAGCAGCAGGACATATTCAATGATATGTTGTTTAGCATCTAAGGTGTTTTGTTTGAAAAGTTCAAAGTAATTTTACAAAATTTGGGTCACGGAAATTTAGTACCCAGCAGTCATTGTTTTGAAAATGAGAATGAGAGAAGAGAAAATAAATAAATAAGCAGAGATATTTTCTTTCTCCTGCATCTTTAAAGATTATTTTTAGTATGGGAAAAATAAAACACATGAAAGCACAAGAAACAATATTTATCGTTGCGGCGCTAATTAAGGACGTGATCTGAAATGTACTTTCTGTTAAGTCTGATTTAGGACCCAAAGGGTCAGCTGCCTCACAATAGGACAACGATAATACAGCCAGAGTCAGGAGCGGAGAGGGCTCCAGTCTGGAGGAAAGCAGCTCCCCTCCCTGGCCTGTGTGCTGATGGAGCTTCATTCCTTGCCCTGGGCTCCAGGGCTCCAGGGCTCTGACACTAGACCTTATTTTTCATGTGGGCTGCACACTGTTCTGCTGCAGTCGGGGTTGCTCCCTTTGTGCCAGCCCTCCCCCTTTTTAGAGAAAAAGACATGCATGATTTCATACATGAAAGATATATGTAATTGGACAGCAGGGCCTATGCAATACATTTACAATTCTAAACAGAATACGTTAAAACCTGTTTCCTCTGTCTAGCCCCCTTTTCTTCCTGAGGAAATGTATTTGCACATATTCAAAAACATAAGATCAAAAAGTAGACAAAACACAGGTTATCATTCTTGTTTCATGCTTTATATCTCACATGAATGTTCAAAATGCACAAGCGCTGCCAATATATCTCACAATTGTACTTTATCAGTGTGTGGCTCAGGCTGTTCTATTGGAGCTTACAGACAAATACAGTGGATTCTGGCATGTACTGCCATATAAACTTGCCGATGCATGTGTATTGAAACACTCAGAAAGGTAAATCTGAACCTGCCACCACAATTTAAGTCTCACTCTTTTGTGTGGGGTTAGCAGAAAATACAAATTCCATTGTATTACTCATCTCCGCATATGATCGTTTAGTTTACAATCAAAAGTCTAATCCTTATCTGTTCTTGTCATGTGAGTCAACATGTCTCATTACATTCAATACAGAAAAATTAAATATAAAATAGTTGACTAACATACATCATAGAATCTGATTAGTGTATAAATATAGGCCAGAAAATGTGATACATCCATGAAAATAAAAAAACAAAAAAAAATCTGATGATTCAACATTGTAGAGCTACAAATGTATGTAGTATGTATATACTAAAAACAAAAAAAGAAGAAAGAATCTATAATTTAATTGCATTTAAATTAAACGTTTCACAGTGGGAAAACAATCTGTGTCCTTACTTTGATACTGAGAAGTTATATTTGTATAACACAATCATATGTGCATAAATCTGTTGTGTGGTATTTGTTGAATTAGAGAAAGCTTCAATCTGTTAGCTGGCTGTAACAAAGACACTGTTGGGTATTTAAAAGGTTCCGTTATGGCAAAATTGGCCTGAAAAAATAGCAAATTTACACATAATTCCATTGCAAATTTCAATTGTAATTCAAGTTCAATATGAGCAAGAGACCAGCTTGATGATTCCAGATTAATTCACAAGCTGCCATGAAGTGAATTAATGTGTGTGTGTGTGTGTGTGTGTGTGTGTGTGTGTGTGTGTGTGTGTGTGTGTGTGTGTGTGTGTGTGTGTGTGTGTGTGTGTGTGTGTGTGTGTGATCCAATGCACACATTTTAACCTCTAAGCTATGAAAGAGAATATCACATCTCTGTCTGTCATTTGACCACAGGGAGGGTGTGACCTTTTGGAATTCAAAGACAATTTTTCATGTTGATATCTTTTTGCCCTTATAAGCAGCAAAACAACTTGTTTAAGTGGATTAGATCCAGCTGATACAGTGCAAGGTTGTGGAGATGCACAATATTACAAATTATTCAGTAACCACATATCTAACAGAATTATAAATGGTATTACACTGTTCTTAATTTCTTCTAACATGATGTCAGTCACACTCATGTGAATGCCTGCGTGTATGTTAACACATAGAGAGAGGACCATATCCCCTTTATGCTGCCATGATTCACTACAGTACCAACCCTCCTGTGTCTCACACACAACAGACAGACAGCCAGACTAACGACTGAGCTAAACAAAAAGTATAGTGTGTGCTGTGCTATGTGAAGTAGGTGAAGGGATAGTATTTCTGCCACAGGAATGAGGTCAGTCGGCTGTTACACACGTGCTGAAATTCATAACACAAAAGTGATCTTGGCAGGAAAGCAGGCCATGTCAGCTGGGCGTGCAGGTAGCGAGGATACAGGTGTGTCATTCGTGAGTGTCTTCCACTTGCCTGATATGCGAGGACTCTGATTGCCAGAGCTGAAAAGCTTGACTGGTGAATTAGACATCTCGTACATACATGTTACATGTGAATAGAGCATTGGTAAATGGACTGGTACAGGGCTCCTGGTTTAAGGTCTTAGCCCACCCTTCTTGTCTGTCATGCAAAAGTAAACACCTTCACTATTAACTCCCTTAACAAGCTAACACCTAAAAAGGCAACAGCTTCACTAATCACTTGGTTTTATTGGCTCCAGGAACACTTAAAGCTATAAGGGGTGCTAACCTCCACTGAGGTATTTAGAGCACAGGGGCCAAACTGGTTGATGGACAGGTAATGCTCCCCCCCCCCACAACTCACCACCCACAGCAGATATGGGTGGGATCACCTGCCACTGAGGCAAAGTTTAACTTGAGAGCTGATAGGGGTTAAACATCCACAATTCTGACTCTGTTGCTTTGTCCATCTAAAAATGACTTCCACACAACTCCAGGTGGCTTTTGGTCCAGGGGGCTCCTCTAGCTCTGGAGGTTTGATCACATAAGGCTTTAGAAGATTTTTTGTTGGGTCTGTTTTCTCAACTTCAGATACTGCCTCTGCAATCAGCAGGGCCTTGTGTGGAATAGTGTGATATCAGTTGTTGATTTTCCACGCATGTAAAATGTGCACGATGTCTGCATTTACTTTGAAAAGCAGTCCACAGTGTGTGCGGTTGTTGGTGCGTGGTTGTGTTGTAGTAACTGGGTCTATGTCACTGTCAAACACTGAAAAGCCACTGGGCATGTAAAGAAAGCTGTCATTTCATCCACTGTAGTTGGGCTCCTATCCTTCATCGTCCTTACACTGACTTTCCATCATTATTCATTCATTTGCATCATTGTTGTCCTCATATTAACGTCATTGATTTGAATTGTAAAACGTCTCATTCGTCAGAATCCGAAATTTGGCGAGTATTTGTGTATTTACAGCCTTATAAACGTATGCTACGTCGTTTAAAGCCTGTGTGGGAAATGCTGCATTTTTCTGGATTTAACTGTGTGTGATATTGTTTTTTTTTCTTTATGAATGATCTGAAGACAAGCTTGAAATGATTGCAGTCTCGTCTGACCCCGGCCACATACTGTATGTTGAGGCATCCGGAGGCTGTGTGTGACGCAGGATTTGGATTTGACCCCTGGCGATAATCCTAGATGTGTATTTGCCTTCTGTGTCGCTTCCACCTGTCATCTTTCATCTCGTCGTTGCTGTTCGGCGGGGGGGCTCTCCTCGACATCAAGGAAAATTACTCTCTTTAAGTTTGTTATATTCAAGTGTAAATGCGGGGAGCACGAAGTGGCATTTGAAGGTTTTTTTGGTGTCGTTGGGATCCCTGCTTATATCCCCCCCACCCCATTCTGTTTGGGTTGGTTTACCACCAGCTAGTGTTGCCTGGAGTTGGTCATATGGCTCTGATTTGGGATTCCTCTGTTTCAGTGAGCCTCTCCAAGGCGCGTAAA